TGTGTGTGTAATTCTCAAAGAAGAAAGTGGCATGAACTTTAATTCATGGTTACATAGTTGGCTGGAAAAATGCCAGTTTGACCTCGAAGCTTTCCTTCCCACCAATCAAAATGTGAATCTGTTTTTGATATAACTATGATTCTGTCTCCAGCTTGAAAATTCAAATCCCCTGGCTGCTGTGCTTCAAATGAATAGAGCGCTGTCACTTCTATCGGCAGATTTGAATTGCCTAAAACAACAATGAAAAAATTATAATTAGTTAAAATTTTTAGAGGAAAAATTGGGAGTGTGTAGATAAGATAAAATTCAACCACTTAGCATTTGTCCTGCTGATGCCCTAGGAGCCAGCAAAACCCACCACATATGTCTGTATAATTTTCTTAACATTATTATTTTTTGAGACAGTCTCATTATGTCGCCCTCGGTAGAGTGCTGTGGCATCTCAGCTCACAGCTATCTCCAACTCATGGGCTCAAGCGATTCTCTTGCCTCAGCCTCCCAAGTAGCTGGGACTACAGGTGCCCACCACAACACCCAGCTATTTTTTGTTACAGTCGTCATTGTTGTTCAGCTGGCCTGGGCTAGGCTGGAACCCGCCAGCCTTGGTGTATGTGGCTGGCGCTGTAACCACTGTATTATAGGCACTGAGCCAATTTCCATAACATTATTAAACTTACATTTTTCTCCTTTGGAAAGTGCAAACATTTGGCAATAACATCTCCCAAATCCACCTAAGTTAGACTTGCACATTATTGTAATATATACTTGTAAATTCAGCAAATGTTTATGGTCATAACTTTTTAAATTTTGAACAATCTGTAAGATACTAATATTTATCCATATTTTTTCCATTTTAGTAGAATACTCATTGCCATGGTCTGAATTTTTGTTGCCCCCCGGTACCCTGAAGTAGCAGTGTGGGAAAGGGCCTCCCTGCGTCAGTGGCTGAGGCCGCCTGGCCTTTGCCCACTAGGAGCACATGGTGTCTGGGCAGAGAAGCTGAGCCTACAACAGTGAGTCCCAGACATCTCAGACTTCCGGCCCACAAAACTGTGAGAAATAAATTTCTACTGTGTATAAGTCTATGGTGCTTAGTTATAGCAACCCAGATGGACTGAGACAGTTGTGACATCTTCCATGAATTATAGACACTGGAGAAAAACTGAAGTCTGTGCTTATGATTGTGTCATGAAAGATTCAACTCAGAAACCTTGCTCCGCTAATGTGTGGTATTCAGAAGGAAATAGTTTGAGAACTGAGTGCTTAACATAAATAAAAGACATTAAATATCATAAACTGTGTTGCATCATAAAAATATAAAGAAATGAACACTTTCTGTGCACTTAGCTACATGGAATCAAAGTCTTGTGAGTCATATAATTTTTTGCATAAATCAGGCAATTAGATATTAAATGCATCTAAGTCCAGATACACAGAAAGCAACAACAATCAAACTCTAGAACAAGCTCCATTTTGAACCCATAATACTCACTATAATAGTAATAAAACTGAACTTGGGCTGTCAGTAAGAAATAAATTTAGTTAATACTTGAATTAAACCACATCAACTGAAAACACTGAATTTGTAGCTCACACAAGATGGTGCTACAGGTCTTTCTATAAAGTATGTGCCATCTGGTTCTCTGAGTTCTAAATAAATAATCCTAATAATAACCAACATAATTACATCAGAGATATTACTAGTATAACGAGTTGTTTCTATGAAACAAAGAATTTCTCCATATTTTTATATTTATACTATATTTATTGTTAGTCTATCAATGTTAAATAATAAAGGTTAAAAGAATGTCACAAAAAATTTTTTTGAACTGCTAACATATGAGTAAGCAGTCCTTCCTACACACACACTGTGAAGGGTGGCTGACGCTGCGATGAGTGGTATTTAGCAAGCACTTGTATCATGCTTCCTTGTTTTCAGATCAGAGGAATGTAAGCTAGTGCTAAAAAAGAAAATTGGCCCTGAAAATGTCCTTAATAATTATATTTAGGACCTTTGGATGCAGGTCCTGCGGGAGCTCTGGTCTGCAAACCTGCTGCAGGACTGCAGGACAGCAGCAGGTGACAAGGTTGGTGCCACTGAGAAGGCTCTGAAGGCACAGCCCTCAGCCCCACACACGCAGCCCCTGCTGGCTCTGTGTGCACCAGCTGACCACAGCAGAACAGTGGCAATCAATGCGGCACAGGTCCTGGGCACCCATCCGTCCGAGCCTCAGACCCTTCCAGGAATTGGTCCAAGGTTGCAGCGCTCACGGTGGAGGGAGAGAGATGTGAATCCAGACAGCTTGTCCTCAGTCAGTGCTGGCACTGTTCATGAGCGTCATGTTTGCAAGTGACTACACTTAGATTTATCAGAGCACTCCCCTTCACAAGGAGAATTTTCAAGGCAGATTAGTGTATTTTTCTGCATCACCATGTTATCCAGATTGTACAGATGATGCAGACATCTGATGCAGCTGATCCTAGAAATCCCTGGTAATTCAATTTGTCTTTACTTGTTTTAGAAATATATTGCATGATGAATAATTAGAGGAAGATATATTCTGAACTAAAAAAAAGAGAGAGGATGAATCCCTGCCCTCACATGCAGCTGCAGCTTAATGTCCCTCAAGCTACAGGCTCCAAATGAAACAGGGCTGTGGCCAGGCGGCTGAGCAAGGGCTGCCAGGCACACCTGACCTTCCTCTTTTCCTGGGGCTGAGGTGGAAGCTCCTTGTGCCAAGCTCCTCAGCAACTAACTAGTCAGATGAGCCACTCCACCTCCCAGGGGGAAAACTGGGGAGTCTGGGGTTTGGCTGTCGTGGAAAATTCACCCACCTGAAATCAGAGGGGTGAAGCCACCAGGGTGAGCCAGATGGCACCCAGGACGGTCAGCACCATGCCAAAGAGCTCCAAAGGATGTAATGGCCCTCTTTAATGTAAGTATTAGAGAAAATTTCCATAAGGAGAAGTTTAATGCCCATAAAGGAGTACTTAAAGAAAAAAATAAGTGAGCTTAAGAGCTATGTCCTCTTCTAGGAAACTACCCCTGTCCCCCCACTTCTGGGAAACAACACCCACCCACCAGGTCCAGCTGAGGTGCTCAAACGCTGGGTGCTTTCAGGTGCCTTTCCTGCTGAGTGACATATGCCCTTAAATTATTCCTGTGCTTTAAAATATCTGAAGGATCTTTGAAGCAATTGGTCATTCCATTATAATATTCAAGTTTAACTCAAATCAGGAAGCACAGTGAGATTACAATCAGCATCTGATCTGGCAGCTTCTGCTGCCTCAGGCTCCAAAGTGAGTAAGGAGTTTCACTCCCAGTCCACTTTCTCACGGAGCCTGCACAATGTAACCCATAATGTAACCTGTGTGCAGCCAACTCCGGCCCTGGGCACATTTCAGGAGAAACATCTCAGCCTTGGTGGGGCTGCCAGATGCACTATAGGGGGGGGGGGGTTTGACCTAATTCTGGCACCTATCTTTTCCCAGCCCACATGCTGGGAATCCATAGCTTTGAGGGCCACATTCCCTGTAGGAGTGTGTCACTGACAAATGAGCAGGAAGCCACCTAGCAAGGCCACCCAGGAGACCAGTCCTCACCACAGGGGCCAGAGGCAATGTCTAGAAGAGGCCTCTGTGGTTGTCAGCTAGGTGGGTGTGTGGCAGACACTGAGCAGGTCTTGTGCAGTCTCCATACATCTTCTGGAAGCACAAGGCTGCCCTCATGTTTAACCTTTGCCCTCAATTTGTGTCTAATTCACATTTGTAAATAACTGCTTAATTCTTTTCAAGGAAAATTTCTAGACAATATTTAAGCAAGATAGGTTGAAGGACTGTTTTCACTATAGAAGATCTTTGCAAGTTTTATTGTGAAGTAGTTCCTCACAATAGCAAAACATGTGAACTTGAAAAATAAAATTTCTTAAAAAATAAAAAGTTTATGGGGCTAAAAACAAAGAAAATGCAATAAGGATTAAATTGTAATTCAAAATGAACAAACTAACATTCCATTCCCATTACACATCCCAGAAGCTTCTGAACAACTAGTCTTAGAACAATCCTGTGTTCCTGGGACAAGCCCAGGGTGCCAGAGCAGCACAGCCCCAACTCAGGGCCCTACTGGGACAGCCATGACCCTCAAGCCTTTTGCCATCCCGGTTATCTTAAATTAAAAGCAAATAAGAGAACAAAAACATAGCATTTTTAAAATAAATACTTCTCAAAAATGTGGATATGCTATAGATCAAAGTAGTGATAAGAGATTCACCCAATCTGTCCTATTTACTAAAAAGTTTGTGATTATTAGGTGGATATGAATCATTTTTAAAATATATTTTCTTTATTTACCAACTCTCTCATGATAGCTGGGAAGTTCAGGATAGAGCTTATACTCATTTCTGTCATCTGCAAAGAAAGGGGGGGGAGGAGATTTAGAAAAATTAATATATATTATTAAAATACACAGAAAGACCAACACCTGCCCTTGCTAAGCAAATATTTTAAATCACTATGGTTAACAGGATTATCATTATTTAATCATGCTTTAAATCAAGAGGTACGTCTGGATAGGCCGTAAATGCACCAAGTACAGAAGATGGTAACTACCGGATATCTATGTAACATGAAATACTGATACATAAACTAACTCCCAGCCTTTCAAGCACATGTATGGAAAGCATGACAACATCCCTTTCCAAAAGTCATCATAAAATACCTCAATAACAAAGCCTGTGGCTCCCAATACAATGATTATGTTATTCTTATTTCCTGTATAACCCCTAGGATAATTTTTACACAGTGGATACTCTCCTTGCTGTATGTTTTCAAATTGACATCTAAAATTGTTGAATGTAAGCTTAAATTGTTACAAGGAGAATACTTCTTAATATAGTTCACATAATAGTTATTTAAATTAAACAATCGTATTTCTTTCTTTCTTCTTTTTTTTTTTTGGATAAAAGAATCCAAATAGTATAATGATTTGAAACTTAGTATAATTCATTAAAGAAAATCAATAAGCTGTTTAACAGTCAGACATTATGTATTTATTTTTGACTTTCAAATCATACTTTCATTCCATTTATTCAAAAGTTCTTATAGTAATGTATCACTATTATTATTTTTTTGAGACAGAGTCTCATTCTGTCACCCAGGCTAGAGTGCATTGGTGTCATCACAGCTCACACCAGCCTCGAACTCATGGGCTCAGGCAATCCTCCTACCTTAGCCTCCCAAGTAGCTGAGGCTACAGGTGCCTGCCACCACATCTGGTTAGATTTTCTATTGATGGGGTCTCGCTCTTGCTCAGGCTGGTCTCAGACTCCTGGTCTCAAACAATTCACCCACCTCAGCCTCCCAGAGTGCTGGGATTACAGGTGTGAGCCACCACACCTGACCCAATTATTATATTTTTATATATAACATTTTTCTACAATAAAAATTTATATATAATTTTTAAGTTTTATTTTATGTAAGCACAAGGCTTTACTAAATAATTTTTCATAAACTGAGTTATCATTATAACCATCATTAGCAGACAAGTGATCAAAATTTTTAATATATTGTGAATTTTTTAGCTTACTAAACATAAAAGTAACTTTTTATTTGAAATGCATCTCAATAGATGGATGAAACTTTCAAAAATTAGTTCAGGTTTCTTATTGCTAGAATGACATACGTTGAACATCTAATTCTATTTTAGTATGATTTGTTATAGATATAGGTGCTAAGAAATCTGACTTTTATAAACAACTAGAGAGGGGTAGAAGGAGGCATTGTATATTAATGTAACCAGATCTTTTATAGTCCTGAGATAGAGGCCAAAAAAAAAAATCATAGTTATCTATTTGCAAAACATAATAAAGAACAAAATAAACAACATATATATATAAAATTATATAAGATAATAAAAATTATTACTATGATTTAAATGTCCCCTCCAAAACTCACATTGAAATTTATTGCCATTATAACAGTGTTGAGAGATGGGATTAGTCAATGAGGGTGGACCCCTAGGGCTTCGGCTAGTTTTTGTGGATGTGGGTCCTGGATAAAGGGTGCGGTGGGCCCAATACCCTCTCTCTGTCTCACACCGTGAGGTGTGCTCATGGCCATGTGATGCCTTCTGTGTGCTGCGATTCACCGACGCCCTCCCCAGGTGTGGCCCCTCAAGCTTGGATTTTCCCATCTCTAGAAATGCAAACCAAATTAATCTCTTTTCTTTTTAAATTACCTAGTCTATGGTATTCAGTTATAGAAGCAGAAAATAGACAAAGAAAATGACTGGCTTAACTTTTTGTTTTGATAATAGTGTGATTTTTAAAAATAATATATAATGACACTATTAATTGTAACTCTCATTATAAATTTAGATGACAATTCCATTAGGTCCTTTAATTTTCTTGGAACCAAAGAAATAGAAATCACCTGATTTGTGAGAGGATTTGGCCCTCATGAGAACCATACACTAACTACGTCAAAATCAATATCTGTATTTCAAGTTTGGAGTTGAGGTAGTATAGCAGGAATCAGCATGGTTTGGGGTTTGCTTTTATTCACTAAGTATAGAAAACAGGTTGTGAAAATGCAATGAAGATGACAGCCTACAAGTCATGTTCTCAGCTGTGCTGGCTTTAAGAACTGGGAACTAGAGACCTGGATACTATGGCTCTTAAATTACTTGAGCTATCTGTGCCTGTGTTCTCCTTGGCAACCTCTGTGCTCCTATGGGGAGAGGCATCTGCCATTGTAAAGGCCAGCAGCCTTGCAAGTTAGTGAGTATAAGGATATGGAAATGAACACTGATGGAGCTGGAAAGAAGACACAAACATCCTAAGAAAACCTATTTTTAAAAACTAACTGGAGATATTTTTGGGTGAATGACCAGATACGTACAAATTAAGATTTCCTAAACTATGAGAATAAACACTCTGAAATAGAGATGGATCCACTTACTACAGCAAAATACTTAGGGATAAATTTAACAAGAAAGGCACAGAAATTATTAAATCTTATTTTTATTATTATTATTTTTTTGTTTTTGCTTTCGATTTCTGCTGGCTTTCACTTTATCTTAGTTTGAAGTTTTGTTTTTTGTTTTTTTTATTTTTTTTTCTTTCTTCCTTTAGCGATTCTCTTGCCCTCTTGCCCCCCATGTAGCTGGGATTACAGGCGGTAGCCACAACGTCCAGCTGTTTTTTTTTTTTTTTTTTTTTTGTAAAGATGGGGTCTCACTCTGCCTCATGCTGGTCTTACACTAGTCTGAGCTCAGGCGATCCACCAGCCTCGGCCTCCCAAAGCGCTGGGACAACATGCGTGAGCCACCATGCCCAGCCATGAAACCTTATTAAAATAAATAACATCTCAACAAATGGAAAGCATAAAATGGAAAGATTATTATTCAATCAAATTAATTAATTTATACATGTAACATTACTATAATTCAAATTCAAAAATTATAGATTGAATATACATACATTTTAACTAAAATTGAAATGGAAAGCATAAAATGGGAAGATTATATTCATATCAAATTAATTTATACAAGTTATATTATTACAATTAGAATAAAAATTATAGATTGAATATATGTACAAAATGTTATTTTAACTAAAATTGCATTTTGGGGGGGAGGAAAAATTAGTAAAATGATCTTAAAGTATGTGAAGAATAAGTATCCAGTAACTATGAAAACTATCACAGGAAAATCTAGGGGACCATGAATACAACCTTGTATAGAAAGTGTGAAGACCTCAACCATGCCTTAAAAATCCAAATCTACAAAAACTAGGTGATAGCTGTATTTTTACATTAAAATTAAAACTTTCCTATGGCAAAATTTTGAAGACAAATTCAAAAGACAAATGCTAAATGCAGAAAAATATTGCAACTCAAATGACAACGCCTTAACATAGAGAGCATTTCTATAAATTAAGAAAGCAACAAATATCCCAATAGAAAAAAATGGACCAATGAAATGAAAAGATGGGTAAGATTAAATACAAAACTCCAGGAATTATATGCAGAGATGTTTAAATTCACTAATAAATGTAAAACAAAATAAAAATTCAGGGATAAATGCAATTCAGTTATCAAGGAAATATAACCAGCTTTGACTCACAAACACTTTGAAACGTTTCAACACTAACAGCAGTAAGGAAAGTGTATGTTGAGGACTGTCCTGATATGTGTCATAGTAGGAGAGTGTGTGCGATGGGAGGGGGGATGTTTATGGTGGGAACTCACATGGTATGTGTGGTGGGGAAGTGAGTGTTTGTGGTAGGGCATGGCAAATGAGACTCCACTGCAGTAAAAACTTACTTAAATAAATTTGTTAAAACTTTAAAAATCTATCCTTTGATCTATCATGTCTACTCCTGGCAATTATCTCAAAAAAACTATAAGTGACAGTATGTAGAGATAGTAATTTAGAAGGATATTAATTGTGGCACAATTTCACATGGAAAAAAATGTGGAACAAAGTTAATACCCACCAGTAGGAGAGTTGCTGAATGACCTGTGTACACTGTACCATGGAATAGGATTATAAAGGATTAATTAGAGCTCTACTAGTTGACTTAGGAGTTTCCACTGAGGTGTTAGTGAGCAAACAAACCGATAGGCAAATAAATAAATACAAACAAGATATAATATAGCATGCACAATATTATAGCATTTATGTGTGACAAAATCAAAATATTCTGCCCATGTGTATTATTAGTTTGTACATGTGTCTGTGTATGGGACCGTACCAGCATGGACACTATGTCAAAGTCTATATTTCAAGTTGTAAATATGGGTTTCCTAGAATGAGGGTGGGAAAGAGTGTTTTGTGAGCTAAAATATAGGAGAAATGGGGAGAGGGGAGCAAATCAAAAGAGGAAAAGAAAAAAAAATACTGGATTTAAAAACCCATTTTAAATCTGCACTTATATAAACCACATGTGCATTTATATATGTGCATTTATATGAAATCACATGTATGTGAGAAATTAAAAATATTTAGTTTTTTAACAATGAACTTAGAAAGAGGTCAAATTTAAAATAAAGGGTTAGATACTAGCTTAAAATTTTTAAATAGATATGAGTTTAAAATTTTCTTTTTATTGAATTAAAAACTGGTGTTCAAAACCTGAAATGATATGTTGCATGAGAAAAGATAGTGTGCAAATGAGTAACTCCAACAGGGAGCTCTCAACAAGCACAGAAATGGGACCAAGAAGGGAGAAGTCGGTGTGCATGAGAACACGTGCCAATCAAGTGGCCTTCACAGGACTGAACCAGGCACACACAGAAGCTGGCAAGGACATGCTCATGATGTGCAGAGCGGCAGACATGTCTGTCCGTGCCCATAAGACAGGTCCTGTGGGAACAGGAACCTGGGGCTGGCAGGGCAGGGCAGATGGTTTAGTGCATGCTCAGGAGGGGGTCAATTTCAGGGTTTCTCAAGTTAAGTGCAAGAAATTCCTGAGGTGTGGTGCACAGTAGGGTTTTAACACACAATGAGAAGGAATCAATAACAATCAGACCAGGATTTTTATATATACATACTGCAGATATCTAATCTCCTTGTGAGGAAATTTAAGCAACGTTTAAAACCTACACATGGGTCAATTTCATATAATCACTCAGATCTAGGAGGAAAACAGGTTTCATGCTCACATCTCCTCAGTCACTAGAAACAAGAGCATGAACAAGTTTCAAGACCTGAGTGGCGGGAGGTGAGTGTCGAACCCCACGAGAACAGAAGACTGAGTCTTGGGAGGCAGTGGGTGACAAGAGAGAATCGGTCATTTCTGACGTGGGTAAATGTAGACAAGGCATAGCCAAGAGTGAATACAAGGGGCTGGGCTAAAAATCAGAGGAAAGGGCTGAGGATGAGCTGCCTTCTACAGGACATCAGGGTATGTTCTTCTCCTCCCAAACTGACCATAAGCTGCTCCTGCTGACAGCAGCTATTCCCCCCCTACTCCCAGACCCCGGGCTCGCCCTCCTCCTATATTGAAAGTTATTAAATACAGGACCTAAGTTAGAGTCACCTTCTCTCCACAGCACAGGCTCTTTGTAACAGTTGATCATGAAATGGAAGATCTCCCATGTTAGTGTGTTTCTATTTACTGGTAACTTTGAAATAAGAAAAACAGAATTCTGAGAATGAGTGATTGTCATAAAAATGAATAAGTAAAGACTATAATCGGGTGCTTTATAAATTTCATCTAGTTTTAAAATAACTTTATGAAATTCTGAACTCAGGAATATATGGTAAAAATCAATATTCAGAATTGTAAATTGATGGTTATGCAAGAAAACAAGCTTTTTTTTTTTTACATTTAAAATCACTAGGATAAACAATCTTTGGAAGAAATGAAAATATGAAGAAAATGTGAGAAAAACTTTTAAGATAAAGCTCTGTGGAGAATGAGAACAGAATTTTTCACTAACTATACCAATGAGGATTTTTCTTATGTGTTTAGAAGAGGCTGAACATTTCCTTATTCTGTCTTAAATATCTAGTAGTGCTTCTATGGACTCCAAAGTTTAATGATGTATTTTGATTTCTTAACAATATTTAATAATTAATCACAATTGTATTTGAATTGCAACAACAATGCTTACTTTGGGAGCCAGAAGTCAGGTGGACAGGTGCAGATGGCTGTTGTGGTCTCAACCCTGGTTTGGGGGGTAATTCTTTAGCCTGGGAGGAACAAAAATAAATGCACATATAACTCTAAAACCCTGTTTTTACTTTGACGCATACAACACATTTTCCTTCTAATCAGTTTATGTGACAGATTTTATCATTTGCATTTATTTGTGAGGTGCCCTGAAGCAGATGGCAAGACTATGATGGACCTGGGAGGCTCGTCCCTCACCCAGGCCCCTCTGACAACCTGGGCAGGGTTTGGAGGAGCTGCAGGTGTGAAGATGGGTGATAGCTCAGCGTGGAGTGGGAGAGGCAGCCACAAGCCAAACTCTGTGCCTCAGCCTTCATTCCGAGCTGGGTCAAGCTGACTCCAGAAGGGCTGTGAGGTCACGGAGAGGCATAGGCCCACAGTGTTAGCAGCTGCTGCTGGCGTTAATTAGTGTCACAAAGTTCAATCATGGAAAACAAGTCATGTTTTTCCTTGAAATTTGTGCATATGGGCTTGGCACCTGTGGCTCAAGTGGCTAAGGCGCCAGCCACATACACCTAAGGTGGCGGGTTCGAATTCCCAGCCCGGGCCCACCAAACAACAATGATGGCTGCAACCAAAAAATGGCCAGGCGTTGTGGCGGGCACCTGTAGTCCCAGCTACTTGGGAGGCTGAGGCAGGAGACTCGCTTGAGCCCAGGAGTTGGAGGTTGCTGTGAGAGTGATGCCATGGCACTCTACCCAGGGGGACAGCTTGAGGCTCCATCTCAAAAAAAAAAAAAAAAAAAAAAAAAGAAATTTGTGCCTATGAAATGTCAAGGTATGTGGCATTTTCACAAAGCCATAAGTGAGAGTAACAGGGACGGGTTTCAGCTGTCGAGAGGTGCCCAGGCCAGACCTTGCACTGCTGCTCACGTGCCGCTCGCCTGCTGTTGATTCGTTGTCCTTCATTTTCATACTTTTCAGTAAAGGAATTGAGAATTTCATAGAGATCTTCTGCTTGAGCAGGTGGCGGTATATCTCCAAATAAAATATCATAAGCTCGAATATCTTGGCAATAAAATCTAATAAATAGAGAATTGAAAACATTTCTTCAATAGACATAGACTTTTTCTAGAGTCAAACACAACATATGTGTGAGATGACTCCTGTCAGTGCTCCGCATGGGCCACTGTTCACACTGACCACAGGCAGCAGCCCATGTTTAGCTCTTATGTTTATTCCCAAGCCCTACCGTAGCCATCCAGATTGCTGTCCTTTCTCTATTAACAAAAAGCACATCCACATGTGTGTGTAAAAACGTATACATATATACATAAATTTATAGTAGACACAGAAATACACATTCAAGCACATACATTTTATGAGTTTTTAGTTTTTAAATTTCTTATAAATATGGTATCCAAACACTCTGGGAGGCTGAGGCGGGAGGATTCCTTGAGGCCAAGAGTTCCAGATCAACCTGAGCAAGAGGGAGACCTGGTCTCTACTAAAAACAGAAAAACTAGCTGGGCATGGTGGTGGCATCCATAGCCCCAGCTACGTGGGAGGCTGAGGCAGGAGGATTTCCTGAACGCAGGAGCTTTAGGCTGCAGCGAGCTATGATTGCACCACTGCACTCTAGCCAGAGTGACAGAGTGAGACTCTGTTAAAAAAAAAAAAAAATAGTATCTGTACATATGGCTTTGTAATTTTTAAAAAAGTTTATTTTAAAAAAACTAAATTAGAATTTGCCTTACATGTTCCAAAGCCTTGCAATTCATTAAGCTGTATATTTTTTATTTTATCGAGGATTTAGTTGGACTTTAGTGGGAAAGTCCTCCAAAGCCTAGAACCTTAAGTTTCTAAAAGCATTCTTGTTGTAGTTCTCAAATTAATAAAACTTGGAGTAAAAACATTGTTCTTGCTTTTATAAGATGAAGAGTTCTGCAAACCTTTACTTTCCCCTATTCCTTCTACTTTCTACTTTTTGTGGTTCATACAAATTTGGACCATTAAGTTTGTGAACTCATCCTAGAAAAAGTGCTACATTCCCTCATGGTGAATGTCACTACATCACCCACAAAGTGGCCATCTGATGACCATGGAGATGCTTGGCAGTGAGGTATGTAGCACTTTTTCTAGGATGAGTTCATGAACTTAATGGTCTGACTGTGTGTCTAAATGTTATCAAATGTACTACTGAATTCCTGAGTCAACTGGCATGATGAACTTCCTATCAGTTGTTGCCTCTTATGGTCTGTCTGCTGTCACTGGTCAGCCTTGATCAGTAGGACTTCTGCCTGGCCCTCTGTCAGGCTGGGGGTCCCTTTCTGGGCCTTCACACACATTGCAGAGGCAATTTGCCAGAGCATATTTGGAAAAAATTAGCCAGATGTCAGTTTACAGTAGAAACTTTAGGATACTTTCAAATCCTCTTTTTAAAAATCAAACCATATTTTTAATCAAAACTTGTCTGTATTTAGGAGTAGCACCCAGAGCTCAGTGGGAAGTGTGCCGGCCACATACACTGAGGCTGGCAAGTTCAAACCTGGCTGGGCCAGCTAAAATCAACAATGACAACTGCAACAAAAAAATAGCTGAGCATTCTGCTAGGCACCTGTAGTCCCAGCTACTTGGGAGGCTAAGGCAAGAGAATTGCTTAAGCCTAAGACTTTGAGGTTGCTGTGAGCTGTGACACCATGGCACTCTACCCAGGATCACATAGTGAGACTCTGTCTCAAAAAACAAACAAACAACAACAAAAAAACCCCAAACAAACAACAACAACAGAAAAACTTGTCTGTATTTGATATGGAGGAGAGACAAAAGCAGAGTGTAATAACAGACACACTTCTCACACTGAGGAATATTTTGCGTGGTCCACAAGTAGCAACTGATATGCCCTCCACAATTTTTTAAAAAATATACTTAATATGATACATCCTACTAATAAAGTATTACTAGCTTATACTTACAATCTTATAATGCTAAGTGGGAGAAAATATTTACGATTTAATATGTATTATGACAACAATTATACAGAGTGTCCCAAAGGTCACCACACATAGGAAAAATGGGAAATTTTAGCTAAATGTCCTTTTATTTACAAAATACTGTTTTGTTTTGTTTTTTTGAGACAGAGCCTCAAGCTATCCCCCGGGTAGAGTGCTCTGGCATCACGGCTCACAGCAACCTCCAACTCTTGGATGCAAGCAAGTCTCTTGCCTCAGCCTTCCAAGTAGCTGGGACCACAGGCACCCGCCACAACACTCGGCTATTTTTTGGTTGCAGCCATCATTGTTGTTTGGTGGGCCTGGGCTGGATTTAAACCCACCACTTTAGGTGTATGTGGCTGGCGCCTTAGCCACTTGAGCCACAGGCGCCGAGCCAAAATACTGTATTCATTACAACATTTTACAAAAAGGTGGCCAACATATAAAGAATATTTTGTTAAATTTTATAATGAAAAAAAAATTTTTATAATGAGTATTTTGTAAATAAAGGTACACTTAGCTACAATTTCCCAATGAATATGGTGACCTTTGGGATACCTTGTGTGTGTCCAAACAAAGAAACATTATGTTTAGGAAAGTATTGGAAGGCCCTACAGCAAAATGGAAATAGTGTTACTTTTTTTTTTTTTAGAGACAGAGTCTCACTTTGTCACCCTTGGTAGAGTGTCCTGGCGTCACAGCTCTCAATAACATCCAGCTCTTGGGCTTAGGTGATTCTCTTGTCTCAGCCTCCCAAGTAGCTGGGACTACAAGCACCTGCCACAACTCCTGGCTATTTTTTCCTTGCAGTTTGGCTGGGCTGCGTTCAAACCCACCATCCTTGGTATATGGGGCCGGCATCCTACTCACTGAGCCACAGGTACCACCCGAAATAGTGTTACTTTTAATGAGATAGAATTCTTTTTCTTTTAATACATTTTTTTGTTTTCTATTTTTTCTGTAAGTATATATTACTTCTGTCTTGAATTTTAAAATTTTAGAGTCACACACTGTATTTAAAAAATATATGAATGTACTCTGTAAATTATATCAGTTTTTGAAATATTATTTTCTCATTGCAGTTTCTTTTAATAGACTTTGGTGTAAACTTACTTTCGATTAGTCTCTTTCCTTTCGATCAGACAGCTGCCCTCCAAAGACACACCAGCAAAGAGACCCCTGGACTTGCAGTA